ACACACGGTCCGCCTATCCTCTTTCTTGCAAACACATTTTAACACTTACCCCCTCTGTGTCCATGCATAAATCAACCCTATATGCATCTGACTGCAGCCTTGCCACCCATGTAACCCACCCATAGCTCCTGTCCACGGTGGGGCTGGCAGCGGGCACCATCCCGTAATTACTGCTGGCTGAAACGACTCTCCATTTGCTTATGAGCTCCCCAGAGTCCGGTGTAAATAGATTGTGTATATGGCGGGCCCGGACCCCCCTACTCTGCCTGCTGCTCACTTATTGAACGGCCGCGACCAAGGAGCCATGTTAAATGTGATTGTTTTCCATTAGCTACATCCTGTCTAATACCTCAATAGTGCCGTGGCAATTACCCAGCGCTGCCATGCTACATAACCTTCATTAGCTGGCTGCATGGGGAGTCCTGAAGATAGTCGCCGATGTACACGTCTAAACTTGTTTGCCTGCTTTATTCATGAGTAGATGGTGGTTTAATTCTGTATTGATGAGGATGGACTGTGCAAGGTTGACTGACGACGTGAAAGAAGGAATTTGTACAGACTTTTGTTTGACATGGAAATTTGGATTGTTGAGTTAATGGACACAGATGCCTGGAAGAAACTCCACCTTCTTGCATCAACACTTCACCACTGTCTCGTTAGTCAAGTGGTAATGCTTCCACATTTAGAGTTGTGCTTTCTTTTGGGTCTGTTTTTCCCAATCAAGAGGTTGTTGCTTTGTCTGAATCTGTCCATGGGATGAAACTTGAAAGTGTGTTTGGTGGCACTCAAAACACCCAAGATAAAATAATAGTTTATATCACAGTGTAGACCATTGAGCTGTAGTCCAGGGATTGTAGGCCTCCGACTCACAACTCTAGGTCACCAACAATGCCTATAAAACATGTTCAATCCGGTCAAAACTCAGGTGCCCTTTACATTACAAAGTGCGCTTAAGATGGTGAGCATATCAAAGGACTTCACACACTAAGAGTAAATGTTTGCAGCAAGTACATTTATTACTCTCTTAAATGTAGATTTGTTTATGTAGATTTTTATTTACTGTATAATGCCGTCTGCTTTAACTTGTCTGCACCAAGAGCCAAAGCGATTTCTTAGTTTGTGACTTCCTGTTTCTCACATGGCAATACTAGGATTCTGATTCTGATTTAAAACAAGACTTGCTAGTCAGGACAAGCAACATTTTCAAAAGCGGCTTTCTTTCCTCATATGTAGGAATTTGATAAGCATCGTTTTTTATACATCACACTTGAACTGACCAAATGAAAGCCTAATCTAATTTATCTCCAAATGATGTGTGATAAGCTTCTTCAGAATACACATATATTGAATCTGAATGTCATAAAAGTGGCTGAGAATCTACCCCTGTGTTTTGTTTTCATTGCCCCACTCATATAAACCTCACTTTATGACAAAAGGCCCTTTCTTATGTCACAAGCATGAACTAGAAGGGCACTGGATTTTGTTCTTTGTACGCTTATTAACCTGTCAGTGTCGGAAATAAATCAGTGATCAGGAAATAATTATGAAAAAGCTATACCACAGGGAAGTGTTAGTAAAAGTCTGGGAACTGTGAGTAAAAAATCCCCTCATTTGAACCACAAACGCACATACATCTCAAACAGACAGACAGCGCTGGAACACTTGGGTGATAATTGCCCAAATGTTATTGCACAGATACACCATTTATAAAGCAGATATTTAACCACGGAATGGACCGGAACAGCATGCTTTGTGCACACTGACAGGTAGAGCGTGGCACCCTGGGACCCGAGGTAATAAAACGCCATTTCTCTGCCGCACCCTCCCTCTTCTGCTAATGCCCGCCTAATAAAAGCAAGTTCTGAGGTGGCCGCGCAAATAAGACCCTAAGCTACTGGACATCTATCGCATTGCCTCTAGAGAAACATTACACGAGCCCTAATGGTCGCTCCCGGCTTCATTACGGTATTAATTCTACGCCACGCTGAAGTAGGTCCATCCGTAATGTGACAAAAAACTGGCCGCTACAGAGACTACTTGTTGTGAGCGCTTTTTAACCATCTCCCGTTCTAAAGCCTATTCTCATATTGGGTTTTACAGGGAAGAGAAATCCGATAATAGCCTGTGTCCTTTGAGATCCGGGCCAAGGCAAGAGCGGTGCCAGGCGAGGAGTCCATCTGAGCAGGGAGCATATGGCGAGCTCGGGCTAAGTGCTGGGGACATGCGCCACTAAAGCAACACTTTAGATGTCATTTGGCTGTTTTTAATACGTGCATATCCTCGTCCCACCTGAGAACTGTGGTGTGGAGTGGCCCGCCTCGCTTTGTCTGAGCGATGTGTTGTCTCTGCATTAAGAATGGGAAGACAGAGACTGAGAAGGGATAATGTTTCCAATGTTTCTTTTTATCTCTAAAGTTTAGATGATTGCTTTACCAGTAGAAATGGATCAAATCAAGAAAGTAAGCAATTGGTTTTATGGTTAATTTTGCTTGAGAAGTAGTTCTTATTTGGGACGGCGTCGGGACCCCCCATTAACGTATAACAATCGTGACCCAAATAAGAATTGGATTGATACATAAGAAATAAAAAATAAAAAATCATTCTGGTTTTTTTTTTCTGAACATACCTTTAGACTATGCCAATGGGGAAAGTCCTAAAAATGAAAAACGTTTTTCCTTGAAGTAAAAAAGTTTTTTTTTTTAGATATTTGTTAGTCAGGACATTTTTACTGACTTTTTTTGCATTGTAATAATAATATTATATATTATAATATATTATAATATAGTTTATGGTCAAAATTAGGTCTAAAATAGGATGTGGTTCTAAATAAGGATTGTTAAACCAAAGATTCCAGTTACATTCTTGAACAGGGGTGGAATGTATATACTGACAGATTATACTGGTACAAATACACCACTTTGATGCTACAGGTTTAATGTAACTTTTAGGTCTATGTCATTGGGTATATTAATATTGTATAATAAGGCAGTGGGCCAAGAATTATTTCAATGTACAAGTATTGTTATAGATTATTTTTAGCCAATTCAACTGAAAAAAAAAAAAACGTATAGTTTGCACAAGGTTTTATACCATATAGAGCAAACCATGTGGTTCATTAGACCACATACTAAATATACTCTTGAACACTTACTCAGTCCTTAAGCACCTCAATTTTCCCCTTGAACAAGGCTTTTCTACCATCTCCGATATCACAGCAATTAAACCTAAAAGCTCTGTGCTGCTCTGATCCTATCATACCTCTCACATGCATTATAACCCCATCACACAGACGTTTCTTAGTTCATATCAAAGCCGTGCCCAGCAAATTAGAAATATTTAAATCGGAAAGGAATCTGCATTTTCAAACGTCTCTGTTAAAAGTCCATAGCTCTTTTTTTTTGTCTTCAGAGAATCCCACAGATATCATGGAATAGTGGGGATACTGACAAAATGGTAATTGCAATAAGGAGAGAGAAAAAATGGGAAAGGGAATGAGCCAAAAAAGAAATTATTCAAAAAACTTTAATTGGGTTTAAGATCAGACAACAGTTCAACAGGCCAGACTAAATAATCCTTGACGGTAACTCCCCATTCGAAATCGCATATTAGCCGCACAGATTTGAATGTAAACATGCCATTACGCTGTCATTACTGCGATCAGGATACGCGGCTCAAGGGTCAGGCCAGTAGCCGTTAATTTTGCAGGTTTATTCCCCCCTTCCTCCGTCTTCCTTTTGAAATGTTAATACTTTTCTATTAGTTAATGTGCTGTGACTAAAATTCAAATTAGACATCATTTATTCTAATGTGTGTAAAACTAGATCACCGGGCCGTTTAGTAATGGGGGATGGTTTGTCTCTCATGGGAGAAGATGTTAGTGTGATAGGATATTTTTTGGTTGTAATGGTAAGTAACTATATTTTAACATGGAATCTTATTTTTTGTCTAAAACACATAGTTTATGTTTCATTTTCTGTAACTCTTTCCTCTCTGATATTTTTAAGTTTTCACTCTTTTGACTTGACTGCTGTCTCTCATTTCACTTTGACCAATCAGCGCTGCTGATCAGAGCAGAGTTAGAGCGGAGTCAGAGCGGGAAGGAAAAGAGCAGAGTTTGTTACAGTAAAGTGTGGATTTATAGAAAACTGAAGGGTTTAAGAAGAAAAAAAGTTCAAGATGACAGGGGACCCTAAAATCACCACAAAATCCGATCTTTATGAAAGCTGTCGGTTCTCTGTCAGCTGAGGTCGAGCTGTTTTAATTCACATTGAAATCTTTGGGATTTTTTTCTGGGTAGCCCCCGTGAATTTAGTCTGCAGTACCTCGGGCGCCCCCTGTGCCCATGGGTGGGCACAGTTTGATCCATGATGCTCACACTATGGTCGGAAGCTGAATTCATTTAGGTCAGCTTTTAGCCTCAGTCCTGCACAATAGGTGCTAAGTTTGTTCTACTTATGCAGGACCAGTGGAACAGAGGAGTAGTCTGACCAATCAGCACTGAGTGTCGAGGGCAGCACTCTGGGCACTGGCGCACAACCTGCTGTAAGTGTTTAGACAGAGACGACAGTGACTTATTGGTGCACACGCAGATTAGAGCAGCCGAGTTTGTTGCACAAAGAGTGGATTTATAGAAAACCGATGGATTTCAAAATAACTTTCTTGCCAAGATACCCAAAGTTCTCACAAAATCTGCTGCGGATGGGTTTTCACTCATGTCCTTTTTAAGAAGTTACACTGATTTTTTTATTTCTATGCAACAATTTCAAGTTCTATAACGCTAAAGCTAAAAATGGTCTTTAAGTCAACATAAACACCCCAGACACAGGTTGTATACACAGCAAATTGTAAATATGCATTTGAAATTCAGACTTATTTTGCCCATTTACTTATCAGCATAGAATTTGCAGCTGTGTTTGCATTAATCTACGTCCACTTAGCTTTAGTGTAAAATGGATCTTTATGTTTGGGGAGTGTGGCAAGCTGGAGAGAGAGGCTAACTGATGGGGAACATCTGGGTGATTGTGGGGAGCATCCCACATGATGGCGGACGGCCCAAACTCCAGCATGCCCTCGGAAAAGACGGGTTTGACCTCGTCTGCAGCTGCCAGGCCTGCAGAGAGTGGACAGGCCAGGAGCTGCGGGCGCTGGACATGAGCAGCGCGTTAGATGGAAGTCAGAGCACAGCCAACGATTCGACGTGTCGGCTACCAGCAAGTGACAACGGCTTTTGGGAGGCTGAGGAGAAACCAGTGCCATGACAAGTTTAGACTGCAGAGAGGAAGTTGGAGTGTGGGTCATGAAACAGCAGCACATTTCACTTTGGATAACTGCTTTTATTATTAGTTCATTTGTTGTAGCTAGATTTCGCACAAGCAGATACCGTACATAAATACATACATTACATATTATAAATTATAAACCACATTAGTTAATTGACTTCAATTAGTTTTAGTCAAATAAGAAAAAAAATGCAAAGATACAGTAATCCAGATTCAGATATTGTTATTTTTTTTGAGGCAATTTATGTGAGCTGCATTGGACAATCAGTTTTCTTGTTTCTCGCCATGTTTGGGTGGGTTTCCTCCACCATTCAAAACATGCATCCGGTTGTCTTGACCAAGCAGAGTAAAAAAATCTGGAGATACTGACAAATGTCCTGACGGGGCATTGAAGTATGCCTTAACTTCAACCTAATGTAGGCACGTGAACTGAGACTTTGAAGCACCTTGTATTAACTAACACCATTAGTATTCATGCAGATGTTAATGGTTTTCAGAAAAAGAGCTATTAGATTTGTGACGGTAATGAATGCAAGTAATGATCAGATACTGTGTTCCTACGTCCTTGATATATTCAACGGGAACATTAGACTGACTTAAAAGGCTGATAGGTGTGGCTAAGCTCCCCTAATCTGGACTGCAATATTATTGTCCCAAAACTGTAAAAAGACTGGAGAAAAACCAACTGAAAGTGCTGTAGATTAAACTAAACACAGCAGACCAGAGTTCATTTGCATGGGACTCCTCTTTTCAGACGGCTAAACTGCTTATACAAAGATATCTTTTAAATAGGGCCCAAATATGCGGGTGAAACCAATTTAGTAAGTGGCCACCAAAGACGTTTGTCCGACGATCTATATTGAGATTTCCACTGGGTAAGCCTCTTATCACCGTGCTTATAAAACATACAGCGTTCTGTCTGCACACTGAAGTCTGCAGATTCTCAAATACAATGACTGTGACATTTTAAAGAGTGGCTTATACTGGTTAATTACAAAACCATTTGAAAAAAACGGTTTATAGTGAAAGGAAAATGTCTAATGAAGGAGGTCAAATCAAGCGCCACCAAAGAACGTGTACTGAGAGTGTTACAGGGATTTCAAGAGGGAAACAAATGACTACACAATTTAAGAAAGATACTAGATGCATTGAAGCTGGTTTCCAAACGTCCTACAGTTCTTATAGTTCTTCTATTGTCCTACAGAATAGAGTTCTCTGATTGGTCATTAGCATCCATCTGAGTGGACACACAAAAGGCTGATGTCACCCTCTGTGTTCCACTGCAGTTTATCCAGGAAGAAGCCAATTAGAGAACTTCATATATGTTTATACTAAGGTTGGATTTGAACGGGGGTTGGAAGTTCATAAGCGTCTACTTCATCGAACCTCTTCAAAACAAGTATACTTTACAATTTATCAGGTAGGTTTGTGTTATGAAATAAACATCTTGATTGATGTTTGTTTTATAACATGTATAAGACATTTTTGATTGTGTTCTTAGGGTCATTATATTGAGTAAGTTTAAAACACGTTTATTTACTGAAGCAAAACTTGTATAAATAAAAAAAATTCAATTGCCTGGCAAATTGTGTCTGTTTAAGGGCGGAGAATAGTGATTATTATCGGTGATGATTACGATTTTGCTAGTTTTACCAACTTTTTTAACTTCCTGTAATAACTATTTTCCATGATGCAATAATACTTCTAATGGTTTATTGTGGAACATTCCATTTAAAGCTGTACAATCTTGAAGACAAGCAGCAGACAGAAAATTGCATAGTGAACCAACGGACTTTTGCATTGCCTGTTAGAATGCCATAAGGACTGTACAAACGGCCTTCCTGTGAAGCAGGAACAATGTGGACCCCATCAGTCATGTGGAAGAGCTTAATTACCTCACAGAGGCTCAAATGAATGCACCTCCTTAATTGTGTGCTGATAACAGTGCACAGACAGAGAATTATGCTTGGCTTGTTGAACAGAGGTATCTCCAACACACAGACAATGTATTCACCAGTGTACGGAGGCCACTGACAGCGCTGTCAACATGTGCTAACGTGCTATACTGCTAATTACAGATTTAACATGAATGTAAATCTGCCGGTAACCTCTGGAACAATGCACACATAAAGTAATAAAGTTTTGTCCTTTATGTCTTTTCTTGTACCGTGTGCATGAAATCGACAAATGCCTCAGCCAAAGGAACTTAAAACAATAACAAAACATGCTAATGAAGTTGGTATTGATAAAAAATACCATTTACACAAGATAACAGATTATCTTTTTGGGGTGTTTCAGTTGAGACATGTATCCTTAAAGAGGACAACAGATTTTGAACTTGTTATAGATGTTTTCCCCTGTCATTCATACACGCAGTGCTGTTTTTAGCAATTCTTACAAATTCTTTTTGCTCTCATAATTTGCAGGCCGTTAACAGTCATTTTTGCTCGAAGGAGAAAAAGATAATCGTGCATCCCATCTTGATCTGCAGTGGCCTTTGACATGACCATGTTTCAGCGGCAGTGCACAGTTGTTGGGCGGCACAGCAGGTTCTTGGAGTTTGCATGTTCTTCCCGTGTCTGCGTAGGTTTCCTCAGTGTGCTCTTTTTTTTTGTTTTTCTCAACTTTGCATAACATTATCTCCTCAGTATTCACACACACACCCACACACACACGCACGCACCCACATACACACACTGGCTGATTAGATTCGTCTCGTCTGGTAAACACAAAGCAGCGTGAAGGGGCCAAAGACGGATGAGCAACGCTACTCGGTGACTGTGGCCACATTTATTTGGGAACAGCAGGGAGAGTTTTGGGAGGTGAGGAATCATTCCAGCCAGCGGTGGGTGTACAGGGCCGAGCGGAGCGGAAGAGAGGACCACCACCGCGGCCGCTGACAGTGATGTAGAGGCTGGACACATGCACACAGATCCATCTGCAGGGTTACTCTACAGAGAGGAGGGCGAGCGAGGAGAGGGGTGAGATAGGACACAACAATAAAAGATGATTTTGGATGTGAGGAGTGGACAAAGAAGATCTGTCAGGAATCAAGTTCTGTAAAATAATTTAAATTGAAATGACAAATCCCAGTTAATGTATCCTCTCATTCTTAACAATGCACTTATAAAAAACAAAAACAAAAATTGTAAACACGCACACACACACTTTGCTACGGACAGTTTGTCCTGCACCTGCAACATTTCTGCAATTAGTAATAATAAAATAACATAAATTACAATGTCCTTTAAATTTTGAAAGCACAATAAGATTAAAATGGCAGTCAGACATTTTAAACATATAACATTGTATATTTAAATATTTTCCAAGTACATATTTGAAATGGAAATTAATATATAAAAAAACAAAAAAACCTAAAATGTAAATCAAATGTCTTCAAAGCCAACTCAGAGTCAGACGTAACTCCCTGTGATCCCAAATCCCTCCCTCCTCTGACACCACAGTCAGCCTATTACCTGTCACTCCCCAATACAGTCTCCCCCAGGGGCCCCTCTCCTCACGGGGCCCTTGGGGGTCTGTGTGACAGCCACATGTAAACCAGGGCACGGCTTTGATGACCAGGATGTGTTCGCTTTATATTTATGTATTCAAGCTGCCCTCTGCTGTCGGCGAGCCCAATAACAGCACACAACAAAGAGGCAGTATACACGCGCACGCAGCAGAGGGTCCCTATGATGTGGTGCGGTCTCTGAGCGAGCAGAGACGCTGTTATCTCCTCAGCCGTGGAGACATTTAACACTGTCACACACAATACAGAACATAAGAGCTGACGGGTTTGTGAGAGGCAAAGGCAGGCAGAGGAATCAATGAAAGGAAACCATGCAGTCAGAATCTGTTTTAGTCTTTCGATTAAATCATACAAACTTCAGTATTTCAGTTTATTCTAAAGTAGAATTGTACAATAAATTCTACCCAAATAAGACATGTTTTCAATGTTTGTTAACTCCATACATTATACAAGGTTTACAATCATAATCATCATAATGCAGAAATGTTAAGAGGTGCCAGCTGAAGTGGCTTGGGCATCAATCTCACAGACTCAGGACACCCTGGAGGGACAATTTATCTCAGGTGACTTGGGAAAGCCTTGGGATCCCCCTGGTTGAACTGAGAGGTGACAGTGAGTGGTGGCACAGTGAGGCAAGGTACTGTAAGTTTATTTGTACTCAAGTGCTTACCAAAACAAGAAAAGATACATTAAAATGATAACACAAGAGACATGAGGACTGGACTAATGTGATCCTAGTTCTTGACACTTTGTCTTATCAGGACTTGAGCAGCAGAGTTTTTTATTTACAATAAGAATTTTTTTTTATATCTAAAACACTTACTTACAGTCTATAGTTCACTCACGAGTTCTCAGACCACAACGTGTTCGTGCCCAGTCGGCTTGGGAGAAATTGCTTGTGTGAGAGCTCCTTCATGGAAAGAGCAAGCCGGGTTGAAGGGAAAGCTCAGGTGGAGAGAAGAGTGAGACCAAGAGGCGGACAAGAGAGAGACCCGGGCAGAACGAGAGAGACCCGGGCAGAACGAGAGAGACCCGGGCGGAACAAGAGCGAACCAGTTCGAAGGAGAGAGACCCGGTCTTCAATGATGAGTCTCTTCAAAAGAAGAGACTCATCAGGATCCCTGGATTAAAGGTTTACAGAGGTTATGGGAGCACACACACACACACACACTCCAATAGACATTGAGGAGAGGGCATGGCCCCAGACACGGCCTCAGTGAGAATTGGGTTGAACATTTGCTACATGGTGCAAAATATTACATACTTTGTCCTACTTACTGAGATGTGCAGAAACTGTTTACATGGCCACTGGCCGTTAAGCCAGTGAACGGTGGCTTTGGTTGTAGTCCGAGCGCACTCCAGCGTGTATGTTCTACGCTAACATCAGAGGGGAAGGAACAGATGTGCACACGAGGGCGTTAATTATTGCGGTGCTGAGAGTGATTGGCCAACCAGAAGGTCTGCAAAACCCCACACACTCCCTGATCTGTGGGATGCAGTGAAGGAGTGAGTAGACTGGTCCAAGTTTTCTCTTTACTTTACTGGTGTGTTAAGGTGGATGTTGTTTCTTACATTCAAATGAATGGTTTCAGTGCTGTGTTCTAAAGCCTGAATGGAACACAGTGAATGAGCTGTTGAAAAAAAATTGGTTGCTGGTTGCAAACTTTTTCAATGATTTCTCCTATAACTGGGAGATTTGAGATGGGACGATAAGTACAATGTGATTTTCATTGCTACTCTTTTGTAAAATTCCCCACAGTGGGACGAATAAAGGATCTCTTAATCTTAATCCAGACAGCTCAACAGGGGCCTGGTGATGACCATAGTTTTCAGTGCCTTTGGGAATGTTCCACACTGAAGAGACATGTTTTAAATAATGTTTTAAACATGTCTCTTTCATCTGCGAGATTGGTAACAGACTGCTCAGGAGAGACTTTAGAAATCTAATGGGTCTTACATCCAGAGACTGGATATGATTTCTGGGACAGTTTTATCACCCACACGTGAAAAGTGAGTTTGCTGGCTGTTGAATGTTTTTTTTTTTTGTCGTGGAGATGATAGAGTTTTTGATGCCTTGAACAGAGAATGTGTACTTCCTTGTCTTATGGTACCACATCCTTTAACCTGTCCAGTAAGAAAGGCTTTTCTTCAAATTTGAACGAATAATTTGTCCTTAATCTGACACAGGATTGATCCTGCCTTTGTGAATGTGTAAGAGTTGTGTTGCCATCCTTAAATCTAATATTTCAACATGTGCCCACTTACTCAACACTTCCTGAACTCTCTTTGCATTTTAACACATCTTGTACCACTGCGATATAGCCTTTTGTTTCATCCTAAATAGTTTCGTTCACATCACATTGACCTCCTCCTCTTCCGTGGCCCTCCTTCTAAACCCCATTTCTTTCCTATTATCTATTACAATCCACACTTAACAGCACAATTTGTCCGCAATCCATTCACGCCCTAATCTTTCTTATTCCATCGTTTTTTTCCCTGCGCTAACCATTGACCTCTGGAAATGAATTGACACATTTTTTTTCCCTTCCGTTTTTTTCTTGCACCGACAATTAGATTATTACCATGATTTGCGTGAAAAAAATACTAGTGGCTCGTATGCAAAGCAGGGCAATGTTATTTCCCCTTGGCATTACCATATCATCTGATTTCTGTTACCTATTGGAGACAGGTCCGTGTTGCTTGTAAAGGAAAAAAGTAATCATATTTTCAGAGTCAAGTGGATGTTAATGCCCCGTTGCCTTCATAAACCGGGAGAGCATTTGTACTTTTATGTCTTTTACATTGAAATTGTCCAGTTTAACCCCTGCTTTGAGACAGCCATCCACAAGGAATACGTCCACAGATAATCCAAGCCATTCCAGATAAGACAGAAAATTTAACATAATTATTAAGCGCTGGCGTGAATAATAACCAGTCATTTAAGCCATATTATGGGGTGTTATGCTTCTGATGGACGGAATTGGATTTTGTATAAGTAGAGTAGTAAGGGGGAAAGTGTGTTTGAGTAATGTTATGTGGGCAAGGTGAGTTTATTTGTTAAGCACAATTAATAATAATGCATCGGTTTTATATAGTGCTTTTTTGGACACTCAGACGCTTTACATGTCATTATTCTTTCAATCCATACACGGTGGTGATAAACTACTACTGTAGCCACAGCTGCCCTGGGGCACACTGACAGAAGCGAGGCAACCAGTATGCGCCATCGGCCCCTCCGACCACCACCAACCATTCACACACACACCAGACTCATTCTAGGCAATGGGGGTAAAGTGTCTTGCCTATGGACACAACGGCAGTTTGGCACTTTACAACTGAGCTACTGTTGCCCAATTCAAACACACGGCAAGAAAGTGCTCTAAAAACATACACAACATGGTTAATACTTGTTTCTTCTCTCCCTAATGTCTCCTGTTGTGGTGAAAGAAATTAACTTTGATACCAGAAATGCATGAATTCTTTATTTTATAATGTATGTGTCTTTATGTATTTCATGCAGTTTTTTTGTTTTTTCTCGTTTATAACTTCGGAAGAAATTTGGAAAGTTGGTATTGTTGTGAATGTGATTAATATTGATTTTGATATGCTTCACATATGTTTCCACAGTGTGGCTTAAAATGCTCTTTATGATATGAGTTAAGAAATAAAAAAATACCAGTCACAGCCTGATGAAAATGGTGTAAGATCACAACACACAGGAAGACAATAAATTATGGACCATGGTTGTATTTGATTCATTTTAGCCATTTTAAGATAATTATTGGCAAAAGTCATTCCCATAATAAAACCAATGAGTGAAAATGAGAAAGCATCGAGGTGAGGCGCTCCCCAAACAAACGCTGTTGACCAACACTATTATTACCTTGGCACTAATTACTTTTCTGCTTTTTGGTTTAATTGCTTCAATAAAAAAATATCTATAACGCTTTTTTTAATTACACTTTGTGGGTGACCTATGTAAATCCAATTTTATTACGTTGCTGAGGTAATTAGACTGTCGTAGTCTGGGAATGGGGTAAGTGCGCTCAATTTTGCCTTTTTTATTTTGTTGTTTTGCATTGAAAAAATATGTTTTTCAAAAGTCTATTAATTATACAAATTAAAGATTGCATGCTGGCATATTAAGTAGCGCTTCTTGGTGATTACTTTGATTAAGTAGCCAAGCGTTTTTAGTATGTTCCTTCTAATAAACACGGTAATTGTAATGATTTGTCCGTCTTGCAAATGGCGCGCCTAAACGTTATTGTCGCACATAATTGCTTTTTAGTCCCATTTGGTTGATCATGCGCTACATTAGCTGTAAGTCATTCCGAGCATCGTTTTGACTAGCGCCTTGTCGCTGGCTTTCATTGGTGGCGTAATGGCTACACCGCGCATTAGAGCCATGGACAAATGGTACGGTGTGTTGGTTAAGAGTTGGTCAATTAGAATGAGACGCAGCGGCCGGTATGAGGAGGGGGACTGCGTCCACCCCCACAGCAGAGGAAGGACGTGGTCATGGTCATTCATACATGATCATTCAGACACACTCTTAGGGAGGAATGGACTATAGATTTAGTAACTGCATTCAAAATCACATTTTGGTGGTATTTCCAATACCAGTATAATACAGGAATACGACTGTGGATTTGATTATCCAATTTCCACAGGATATTACACAATAACAAATGAAAACGTAACTTTTGATGATGTATATGCGCCTGCATGGCGATTGTGCGAGTTCGCTAGTTGTTTTATTCCATTGCTTCATTTTTACACTATAATATTGTGCAGATGTCCAAATACAGTATTGATTGGACCATGTAACAGAATATGTTACAAAATACATTTTAAAGCATGTCTTCAGTATTCTCCCAACTCTGTTCTTACACACAGATACAAGAAAGTGGAGTATTGACTTAATGATAAAAAAGATGATCTCGTCTTTTCTGGTCATTGCCAAATATTTCCGTTATTCCAACCATTTTTTCCCACTTTATTGCTGTGAAACTCACAGAACTAATATGCTGTATTTTGATTGATGATTATTGTGAAACAAAGTCACTGTTTTATGTTATTTATATGAAATGTCCATAATTATGCAATGGCATCTAGTGCCTACTTCATCATACTTCATACTGAGTAAGCAAAAGAAGAAACATGCTTTAATTATATTATCATGAAATGTGAAACCATGGAATAAGTTGAATGTGTAATTTTGAAACAGAAAAGAAAATTATCTACCATACTTTAGTCAGTTATGTGTTACATTTGATTGGTGTCATGCGTCTTTAATCCAACGTTATTTTTCAAAAGGAAAAGGAAGTTCTTAAGAGAATAGGGATTATTAGTATATTTTGTAAAAGATCTTCAAATAAAAACACTAAGTACACTCCTTTGTATCCTGGACACCTCACCTCTCCTGAGAGTTGTGCTCTTCACTTATAAATAGCAGAAAAAGAGCAATAACCTGCTGCAGCCGTCCTCCGCTTTCATTAAAGTACAATTTCTTGTTGGAATTCCCCAGACCAACTGTAATTTATTGTTTTAGGAAGAAAATACAAATCAAATTGAACACATATATTCAAGCAGTTTCATTTAAGAGTATAAGTAATTCTTATCTTATAATGTTGGAGACATTTCAGCCACTGTGACACACAGATTGTGTCTGTGTTGAAGGAAATCTATTCATTCATTTTGGTCATACTACTCGTCTCGTCTCTTGTCGCTCTCATCCCATGTAAACTTTTTGATCTTGTCAGAGCAAAATTGGGATTGATTCAATAACCCCCACATACAATAGGACATATACAAAAATATATAGGAAATATACACTAGCTTGTCAAAAGCCTTCGAGCCAATGAGAAAATCACTGATCGTTTAGTTGTCTTTCAGTTGTTGAGGTGCCATGAATCATGTGCCTTCTCATGTTGTGACCTTGATTTTATAAAACCTGTGTTGTTGCTGGTGCTATGTGACCCGACCCAGAAATGGATTAAGGGGTAGAAAATGGATGGATGGACGGGCTGTGTTGTTGGAATTCACCAATGATATCATAAAGAGCTGGAGTCTGAATGTTAACAAGTAATGTCATGGCTTTTGAAAATGATCTTTTCATTGATTGTCATTATTGTGTACTCCACATCTGCACAAAAACAGAAAAAAATAACATTAGTAAGAGTTTCCAATATACTTCTTAAGGAGTGATTTTTATGAGGCATGAAGCTGCAATGAAATTCTCACATTTCTGCTCAATATGGATAAGCATGTGTGAGTGTGGAGCTATGGGCCGTGGGAGCGCCTCAGGACTTCCCAGGGACCCGGGGGTGGAGGGAGGTACTCTTCAAGCAGCTGAAGATGGAGACGTGCCCCGAGCACGGACAATTAGAGCGCTCCCTAGTGCCTCTTTGCTCTGTGTGCCTGGTGGACTATAGGGCTATGAGGGGGGCTGTGGACCGTGCGTACCCAGGCCAGAGGCAGTGAGCCGGGGGAAAGGCCTGGCCCTCTGTCCCCTGGGAGGCCAGAGCTGCAAATGGAGCGAGGGCTTTTACCTGAGGAGCAGACACACAGACACAGAGATGAGACGATCCGAGATGTGAGTTTAGCGTTTGAAGAAATGGGAAAAGGTGGGACTGTCTTGACATTTTCTTTTATGTGAGAGCCACATGGGGTCCAGTTTGGTTGAAACAGACAGATAAAGTTGTATCAGACTTGTAGAATAGATATGATTGTTTAAAAGTGGAAGTTTTAAATGAAATGCACTTAATATTATATGCTAAATCTGTATGCTAAATATGTATCTTATGGCACATTCCTCTGGGATAAGCTCAGTAGTCATATCCACACTAAATGCACAATGTCTTCACTAGTGTTAATCTTCAGCAGGAAAATCCCATTTTTACAATCCTCAGACCTCATATGTTGGACAAAAATACCAGTGTGCTCTAGTATGATTTGAAAGAACCTTTTTTAAAACATTTTCCTATATGTATACTGGTGATAATGAAATTCACCTGTAAATGTCAACAATGTATAGAAGCATGAGATCATTCAAAAATTGTGTTGATCAAAAAAATGCAATAAAATCAGCGTTGGTTGATTTTAACCCTTTAGGCGCCAGAGTTTTTTCAAGAAAATATACAATTTTGATTTCAAGATTTCAAAAGGCTATAACTTTAAAATGGTTTGAGATAAAGGCATACTGTAAATTAGAAATATCTTCAGTCTGAACCAAACTTTGGGATGGAAGTTGATTCGTCATCTAATTTGCATATTCTGACGTCATCAAGGTGGCGGCCATTTTGGAAAATGTTAATTATTGTATAAAGACTTCAAAAAGCTGTAGCTTGGGAGTTATTTGAGCTCAGGGAATACTATAAACAGTACATGTGAAATATATCTTTAGTATGAAATGAATTTGGGATAGAAATAAATTCCCTGATCCAAATTATACATAATGTTTTAGCACTGGTTCGCAGCCATATGGAATTTTATTATTTTCAAAGACCTTCAGTGATCAAGACTGAACTCTTTATAGTTTACAGTCATGAAATCTGGAGATTGGTTTCAATATTTCCCTTTCAAAGAAGTAGTGGGCATACTATTTTTCTCAGTGGAAATGAGGCTCCAGGATTTATCGTGTAGAAACGGAGAGATGAAATGAATGGGCTCAGAACTTGTCAGATCATCTCGACAACATACAACAGGCTCTTCAACACTTCTGATCCACTTTTGTGGATTATTTTCTCTCAAGAACTGCCTTCATCCTCATCATTGCTGTTGGTAAAGGCAGTGAACGCGATTAGCGATGTGTTTTTTTCCCGCGGCTTCTCCCGCGTCTTCCGCGATCCCCGTGGATGTCTACCCCCACTACTTTCTCCCACATGCCCGGTGTTATGATGCCCCTGTACCCTCGACCACGGCCCCTGCTTGGCGTTCACAGAATGCTTCTACCGCGGCCACACGGAGGACAAGCAGCCGCTGTACTGGGGCTGATTGTGGACTATGGAGCGCGGTCTCCCCGTCACCAATAATGTCCGTGTCTGCTTCACTGGACACCTGCGTGTCTTCCTCCTCTGAATCTGAGTGAGCCAGTACCAGACCAAGTACTTCTCTGGTACTGAAGACATTGTGAGTAAAAGAAAAAACACTCTCTCCCTCTGCTCTGCTCTCGCTCCGCTCAGCTCTACCGCTGCTGCTTCGCCTCCGCGCTGCAGCGTCGCAGGTGTTTTACGAACTCAATTTACTCAAAAACTTTCAATATAACCACACCCACAAATGTTGCTCATATTACAGGCACACATGTCCACTAACCCCTGGTGAAAAGTATTAACAAGATTCTGCACCACATTTTTACATACAGCCTGTTTAAGTGAGCAATGTTGCTTGTCGCAATATTGCGACTTTGGCGCTTAAAGGGTTAATAAGGTTTTATTTATATTTGTATGCATGTTGTTTGTGTTTTTAACATTGTTTTTTTAAATTGTTTTTAACTTGCACCACCCGATGCACCCCGGCTCCCCACGTGATGACAATTAGAACACCTGTACCTTGTGTACCAGAGGGGGCGGAGGAAGGTGGAAGCAGGAGAGGGAGACACGGGAGCCAAACACGCCGAGGGGAAGAGCCCTGTGAGTCCGTGAGTTGTGTAAAAAGTTTAAATACCAACGAATATAGACACGAATGTCACTTTTAACGCAATTTGAGGCCAGATGTTGATGGTTCCTTGTTGTTATATGTGGGTTTCTCGACGGGCAGACCAACTCGACAGAACACCGGGTCCAAAGAACCTGTTTTTCCACTTCTATCATTGGCATGGGGTTGGTATTAGTAATTTTATGAAAAAAATCTTATCAGATCGGGAGTCAAAAGGCCTGGATTGGAATATCTCTCATTGTCTAATACCACATTTTTGTTATTTTTTTGTTTTATAAGTGAGGGCATTTCAATATCCATCCATCCATCCATTTTCTTCCCCTTAATCCATTTCTGGGTCGGGGGGTGGCAGTCAGAGCTGCACCCAGTACACACCGCACCAGCCCCTCACTGATCCTCCTGCAGGTGGTGAGTCCACAGTCTTGATCTTTCAGCGGGGGCTCCAGGCAAAGTGGGGTTAAGTTTCAGTATGTACAGTATAAATAAGGCTTAGAGAAGACTTCCCTGACAAGGCCTTTCGGATAAAATGCATATCATTATACACGTCTATACATAAATATTGTCCCCCAATTTTAGTCCCCATTTATTATGTTTTTCTTTTGCTTTTGCTTTTCATGCAACTAATCTTGGATTTAAATGATCTGGGGCCGTATTCCTAAAGATTCTGAGAGTCCTCTCAGAGAGCTCTTATCTTAACCTAAAAACTCCTAGCTAGGAGTCTTAGCTTAAAAGTTATTCCAGAACACTCTTAGAGAACTCTGAGCAAGGAATTGACAACAACTTTTATCTTAGTGAGGAGGCGTGGCCGACCCCGTTGCTAGGTATGAGTCATCATTTCAGACGCTGTGATTGGTTGATCCTAAAAGTTAGAACAAACATATTTTTGATGATAATAGGCAAAATAAGGGCCCTAAAATGGACAAACTCAATCATGGAATCTAATCTTAGGAACACTGTGTTATTGTAAATAATAACCAAAAGCTATAAAAGTCAGATATATCAATGGTACATAAATACTGTGAATAGTAAAGTTAGACTTATACACCATCATCAGAGCTTGCTCAGCACCAATTTATCACACATAATACGTATATATCATGAGCATCCACAGTGACATTTGTTGGTTCACATTATCGGTGACTCAGAGCACCAACATAGGCAATAGCTATTGATTACATGAGTGTCACATTAGTGCACACAGCAAAAATTCTTTTTAATTACAAAGAAACCGGCTTTTCTACCATCTTTTGGAGTTGATATCAGCAAAGTAGCTCATCAGTCCCAGTCTCAGTCTCCAGTCAAGGGTCAAATGCTGCTGAGTCGCTCTTTTTCGGCGGATTCGGACGATTAAGATCATGTGTTATTGGCACGTCCATCTCATGCGTTCTATCAGTACACTCTTGCAAAGTGGTGAATGAGATTCTGAGCGGGTTGGCTGTCCGTGGCTTCTGTATGAGACCAGGCGGGGGTAAATAGATGGTGATCCAGCTGGGGGGCAACTGTAGTACGGTCTCTGACACACACAAGGTGAAAAGTTTGATTCGGGGATTACTCTCTCTTATTGGACCGTCCCTTGCCTAAAAATTGGACCGTATGTACACAATATCTCGATATCAGTAACTTTCAATGTAGCAAATGGAATGTTTTCCATTACTGACCTCAGTATTTAAGGATTCACACTAAAATGTAAGTGTGTTTGCCGTGATTGGAAAAACTTTTACACTGATTTAGAACCTTGTCACGAGAAAAACGAGGGAAAAGTATTTGACTCCATGCTTCCTTTGTTCGGGAGGGCCCCGTCCCTCCCTCTTCTGTCCTCTCTCTCTCCCCTCACTCTCTCTCTCTCTCTCTTCTCTCGGGAAGAAAGAATTTTTTGTAGAAAATTACATTTATACACACGATAATGTTACTGACATGGAGTCATAGGATCACAGAACTTTGAGTTAGATTATAAAGAGGCATTATTTTATTTTTTTATCTCCAAGGCGTCTAGACAAGTTTTTTTTCCCTACATTTTGGTGATATAAAAGTTAGAATGATCTTAGAGAGCATTATACTTTTGAAAAATAGGGCTTAGGATAGTAGGTGAATGCCAGATTTGGTTTTTCAGAATTTAATGTTTAAAATGTTAATAGTAATTATTTCATAGGTTATATTTGGAATTGTAATTATCATTGAGGTTTGGTATGGTAATTAACACACTTGTTTGTGTTTCTTGTTTGTCTGTTTTTTTTTTCCCCTGGCGTGTGGGCGTGGAGAGGTGAAGGGGAGGGGTGGGATGGAGTTGGAGAGTGGAAGAAAGGGGGGTGGCGGAAGGTGGCATGCAGTGGAAATCTTCGGTTGTTTCATTTGGCCAAAAATCGTCCCTGCCACAAACCTCAACTGGTAAGGGCATCATCATCATCATCAGCGTCTCCCCCTCTCCCTGCGGGTCCGCAGGGGGCAGCATCGGCTGCAGCAGCTAACAGGAACTCTCGAAGAAGACTTCTCCTGCCTGTGAGGAGGCAAAGGAAAAAGAACCGCCAGACTTTTTCACAAATGAGTGTTGTCCCAATCCACGAAAACAGAAGGTGGCGTAATGCGAGAATAGGCCGCCAACCGCGGAAAACCATAACAAGAAGAAGAAGGACACACACATTTGGGTGCGTCAGATATGAAAGAAGAAGAAAGACATTATGAGGAAAAGTTATCGGAAGAAGAAAGAAAGTGATTTGTTGAAAGAAGAAGAAAAAAGACATGGAGACAAAGACATTGGACACTATGAGACAAAAAGACATTGAAAGACGCCATGAGTAAAAGAAAGACATTAACGGGACATTTGAGACGTGGCTGGCCTAAATGAGACACACAGAAGGTAATAACAGACAGGCAACAAACGCACAGAGACATATTAAGACATATTTACACATTTAGGTCATTCGTTCATAACACCACATTTAGCTGC